TTCAAAAAAAAAAAAAAAAAAAAAAAGCATAAAAAACAAAGTGTTAATTGTGTAAAATAATATATAAATAAATAAAGAATCAACTGAATATTTATTGAATATTAATAATATAAAAAAAATAAAATAAAATAAAATAATGATTTATAGGTATTAGAACAATATTAACAATTATTTTCTTTTTTTTTTTAGATAGCAAAATTTATGTTAAAAAAATATGTAAATTTTTTATTATGGGTATATAGAAAATATATATAAATTCAAAAAAAAATTATTCATAAGAAAAATTTAATCATAAAAAAAAGCAAAGCACATCATAAAAATTTATAAAATATATTTCTTAATTTTTTTTTTTTTTATAAAGTTTTATAAATATAATATAAAATATAAATTAATTACCATGAAATTTTATAATTTAGAAATAGAGATAACAAATTAAAAAAAATAAAATATATTGTATTATTTTTTTTGTAAAAATCACTATAAAATATTAGAATGAAAATAATATAATAAATATCTTATATATATATATATATATACCTATAAAAAGATTAAAGTTCTAATAATAATAAAAAAAAAAATTATTTATAAAAATAATTATAAAAAGAATAATTTATAAATATAAAAGAAATCTATATAATTCTAATAAATACAATTAGTGAATTTTCTTTTTATTATTTATAAGAAACAAATAATATATATATCCACATGAACAATCATATATGTTTATATTGTAATTATCTATAACTTTTTTTTTTTTTTATAAAAAAGCTGATAATATTACTATTTTTTAAAATATAAAAAAATATTATTGAAAAAATGAATATCCATATTATGCACCAAGCTGCTACTTCATTATTATTCATAATAAGATCTTCTTGCAAAGACAAATCAATATTTGCAATAATTTTTTCTCTTTTAGCACTGGTTGTTTTTAAACTTTTGGAAATAATGTTTTCAAAATATTGTGGTAAAACAAAATAATTATTGGTAATTTCATATTTTTCTTTATTATAATGAAAATATAAAGAAGGAATTATCCAATTTAATATTATACCGGTGTATGTATAAGTATTTAAAACAGTTTTGAAAGCTTCTATTCTCATTTTGTCTCTTTTTCCACTATTTACTTCTTGAAGTGTTGTATTTATTTTATTAATAAGATCTTTTGCCAACGAATTCATATTTTCTTTATTATAAATTAGGTCAGATATTTCATAATATTCAAAAGGTATATGAGTGGAAATTAAAAATTTATTTATATCTTTGTTATGACTCTTATCTGTAATAACAACACAACCATTAAACAGAGCATCAATAACCATCTTATTTAGCATACCAGCATATTTTGAACTTATTACACACACTTTGCTTCTTTGCAAATATTGTGTATATTCTTTAATTTTATTTTTTATGAGTTTATGAGTAGTTTGTAATCCCCATACTTTCCAGTAATATAAATCAACTTCATACTTAAGAATTTTATTTTTTAAATTATCAATATTTTTGTTATATATGTAATCCATTATTTTTTGAACAAGATAATCCTTATAATTACTAGATGTGGTATTATATAAAAATAAAATGTCAATATCTCTAGTAGAGTTACTAAAAATTGATGTTTCTTTAAAATTACATTCTTGTAAAAATAAATCCAATAAGGAATAACTGAGCTCATAGTTTGGTGTGTGAGTGTTTTCAATTTTTCTTGCACGATCATAATAAAAATTAATGTTATTATTATCAGTCTCTTTTGATTCAAAACATAAATTAAAATTTTTTGAACAACAATGATTTACTCCATGTGGTAAAAATGCCCATAATGTTTTACTATCATTTTCATTTTCTAACATTTGTTCTTTATCAGATGATGGCTTGCTTTTTAATTCATTTTTTTTTTTATGTCTATTAGTAATAACATTACTAACGTTGCTATTCGAAACTTTGTTCCACAAACTATTGAATAGCTTTTTTTTTTCCTTAACTGTATCAATATTATTTAAAGGATTAAATTCAAAAATATTTACTTGATTTTGAAAAAATATGTGAGGAAATAAATTCAAAAAAGTAGTTTTCACATTACTGTCCCATCCATCATTTATATATATCAACGTGGTTAATTTGGGCATATTTTTCAAAAAAAAAAAATGATTATAATAATTCGAAACAAAGCTATTATGAATAAATATAATATCAAATGGATCACTACCAATTTGTCCAGAATAGCTATTTAATAACATATGTAAATTTTTAGGAAAAAATACTGGGTAATATTTAAAACCATATCCCCACATATAAGTATTCCATTTTAATTGAGATCCCATTATATTATATAAATTATAAAAATATCTATCAAGGGAGGAAGAAAAGGATTTTCTTGTGGTTAAAAATAAAACACGAGGGACTCTTAAAACATAATTAGATGTATTTTCAACATCTGTATTAGCATTTAATGGAGGTAATGGTATTAAAAATGAATCCGTCTTCTGAAATTTTGTATTTTTATCACCAATATATCTTCTTATTAATGTTTTTACATCTATATCCAAACTTTCTAACATGTATTCTAAATTTTCATAATTTATATATGACAATATGCAATTTTTAATTTTATTAGAACAGTTACATTCTTGTATGGTGTCACTATCATCAATAGATAGCTTTCTTAATAAATTATCGTTTTCTATCTTATTTTTTCTTAGTAATTTATTACTAATGGAACCACTTTCTATAATATCGTTATCGTCTAATTCATTTATATCTTCAAACATTTCTGTTTTTTTCTCTTTTTCTTCATCACTCATTTCTTCATATTCTTCATCTTCTTGGTAATTTTCAATAATATATTTTTCAAAAGAATCGTCTAGATTATATTTATTTTTAATATCATCTTCATTAATTAAATCATTTAAAATTTTTCTTTCATAAGAGTAGGGATTATATTTACCTTTTAATGATGAAAAAAACTTTTTTAATTTTTCATTCTTTTCATTTACATTCTTTTTATCCTTATTTTGATTTAATATATTTTGTAAATCACTTAAATATTTTTCATTGTTATTATATTCTAATAAAACTGATTCTTTTTTGGATGAAGAATTATCCATCACACTTTTATCTAATGAGTATGGGCTTTTTTTTTGATTATTTGAATTTACAAATTTACTAAATAAATCTTCAATATCTTTAAATACTTTATTATTATTATTATTATTACTGTTATTATTATTATTGTTATTATTATTATTATTATTATGTAGTTGTCCAAATAAATTTGCTAATTGGTTAAGAGAAATTGAGGTGTTTGCATTATTGTTATTCTCTTTATTATTTATGTTTATATTTTTTAATAAATTATTTAAATTTTCTATATAGCTTTCTTTTTTCACTTCATTTAATTTATTATTACTTTCATTACTATTTTTATCGTTTTCATTACTTTCATTCCCAGTTTGTTGAATATTATCTTTCTTAGAATTATTAAATTGCTTTAATAATTCCATCCATTTATTAATATCTACATTATTAAAATTTGTATTATTATTTATGCTTTCAGAATTATTACTTTTATTTGATAAATTTAATAATTTTAATAAATTTTGTAAATTAAATTCAGATGCAGAATTAGAATTAAAAATATCTTTGAATGCATTTAAGTTGTTACTACTATTTAAATTCCCTTTATTCTCCTTAAGTTGACTTAAAATTTCTTCTAGTTTATTAAAATTACCATTATCAAAAGCTTTTTTTACTTCATCTTTTGAATCATTAATATTTTTCCCATTGTCTTGAGTATTATTAGATATACTATTTACATATACTAATATAAATGAATATAAAAATAAATATCTAATAAAAATATTCATTTGTAAAAAAAAAAAAAAAAAATAATAGCATAAAAAATATATAAAAAGAATTTAAAAAAATATATGCCACTCAAAATATTTATATTCCTAAAAGAATATAAAAAGAAATCAAATGAATTCAATTCAAAGATGAATATGAAAATTTATTTTTTTGGACACAAAAAAAAAAAAAAAAAAGTATACAAGAAATTTCATTTTTATATCATTTTTTCAACTTCTAACAAACAAAAAAAAAAAAAAAAATAAAATAAAATAAAATAAATAAGATGAAAGAATATTATACGGCGCATGAATTTACAAATAATATTGCAAAACTATTTTCATTTAATATTTATGAAGTTGTATTTAATAACAAAATTGTAATATATAGAAAAAAAAAAAAAAAGAAAATGCATATATATACATAAAATTTTTTATTTATTATGTTTGAGTTTTAGTTTTAATCTAAATAAATTTACATCATTGTATGGTTTATTATGCTTTAATTTTTTTTTTTTTTTTTTTTTTTTTTAAATATTTAAATTATTTAAATTCAAAATTAAAAAAATATAACGAAATTATTTAACTGAAATTAATTTTTTCTTATTCCATTATTTCTTATACTTATATATTCACCACATAAAAACATATTTAAAGCAATTTACAATTTAACATATGCTTTACAAAAATAAAACATAAAATATTTCTCTCCCTCTATATATATTGAAATAATTATATTTATTATATCAATTATAAAAGAAAAAATATATGGAGATTAATATATTAAAATAAACAATTTTAATAATGTATGTATATTAGAATATATCAAGGAATGTAATATGAAGGTGTTCTTATTCATATATATCATTAATAATCAACTAAATTTTTTTCTATATATATAGCTATTTTCTTTTTTAAATGCATTTTGAAATAAAAAAATAATAATAAATAAATAACAAATAAATAGGCATATGAGTAGTTTATAAGATAATAAACAAATTAATGTTTGGGAGCATTCTTTTTTCATAAAATTTTTTTAAAGATGAAAAAAAAAAAAAAAGATGCTTCACTAATTAATGTAAAAATAATAATAAATTTTTGTAAGCATGTGTTATAGAAAAAAGTTTTTAATAACACAAAAGAAATTTATAATTAAATGAGAATTTTTTTGTTATTAAAAAAAAAAAAAAAAAAAAAAAAAAAAATAATAATGAAACAAAATTATAAAAATAATATATATTAAAGTATTTACTTCTATTTGTGTAAAAATGGTAGTTTTTTTTTACTAAAAATTTAATTATTAAAAATATTAAAAAAAAAAAAAAAAAAGTTACAATAATATGGCTTAAGAATCTTGTTATAATTTTAAAAAATTTTTCAATTTAAAAAAAAAAAAAAAATCTTGTTGAAACATAGCCATAACGTTTTTATAATATCCATGCAATGATTAAAATGAATAAAAAGAAAAATATGCTCTAAAGATAGTTTTTATAAATACTTTTTAGTACATGTTTTTATAAATATATTTTTAAAATAGATTTTTGTAAATATGCTTTAAAAAATGAAATTAAAAATACTTTTTTTTTAAAACATGTTGTTTTTTACAAATGTAAAGTTTTTAAGCAAGTTAATGAAAATAAAAATTTCTAAAAGAAGGGCGTGGGTTAAAAGAAATAAAAAATGGATGTTACCTAAAGTGGAAAAATCCTATTTAAAACAAGAACAAGATTTTAATGTTCCTCATAAAATAATATCATTAAATGAAAATAAAAAATTGGATTCAAATAATAACTTCAATGAAACAAGTAAGAATTATAATGGAGATTATAACTTGGTGGAAGAAATAAAGATAAAAGAAAGAAAAAAACTAAAACCTCATGAATATAAAAAATTGCTTAAAAAAGAGAAAAGCGAAAAAAATGATGACAAATTAAGTATAAAAAATTTATTGAAAAAAGGAAAAAATAGTGTGAATTTAGATATAAAAGATTTTAAGGAAGAAAAAAAAAAAAATGAAATAAACACTTTTTGGTATTTACCAAATCCGTTTGAAAAAAAAGGAGTATATGGAATGAAAGAAAGTTCTTTTTATAAATCATTCATAAGAGATAGAGAAAGACAGTTAGACAAAATTGATAAAAAAAAATTAAATGAAAATGAAATAAAATTATTAAATGAGATAAAAAACAAAAATAATGTAAATGATGAATTATTAGAAAAAAATATTCCCTTTGATATGAAGAAAAAAGAAAAAAAGATAAGAATTAATTCAAAAAAATATTGGATTTTTGATAATTACTGTACACCTGATGTATCAACTATAAATTCCGTGAAGGCAAGAGAATTACGATTTTTAATGATGAATGAAGCCAAATTAGTAAGAAAAGGAAAAGAAATAGATATGGAATTATGGTTAGCTTTTATGAATAGAGTAATAACTATATCAACAAAAGTTCATGTAAGAAGTCTTCTAAGATATTTACAAACTATTGCATCTGTTAAAGTTACTAATAAAAAAATGGTTAATGATATAATGAGTGAAATATTTAAAAGAGAAAATGATATGAAACCAAAGCATTATGTATATCTTTTTCAAGCCAGTTCAAGGTTAAAATGGAATGATTTTAAATTAATTTATGCATTAAAAAATATGACTTTATGTTGGCCAATATTAAGAAATAATTTTTTAATAAAATCTGCTAATTCTATTTCTAAATTAGGTCTAGCAAATAACGTTTATAGTAAAGCTTTACAAATAACTTTACATGAACGATTAAATAATTTTACAGGCAAAAATTTAAAAGCAATTAAGGCTATAACTTTTCTTGAACTTTTTAATGAAGAAATGATTATAAAATTTATATCTCTTGCAACATTTCATAAAGAACATTTTAATTATTATACAAGGCATTTACAAATACTATATCTATACATTGTATTATTTAACAAATCTATATATAACAGACTCAATGAAGAGCAAAAGAGGTTTTTGCAAAATTATTCAAATGGAAGTAATTTAAAAAAAATTAATAAAATAAATCATAAAAATTATTTGAAAAAATTAAGGAAGAGAGAGAAATTCAACGATGAATATTCAAGTGATGATGATTATTCAAGTGATGATGATTATTCAAGTAATGATGAATATTCAAGTGATGATGAATATTCAAGTGATGATAATGAAGAAGAATCAAGTGATAATGAAGAATATTCAGTTGAAAAAACAAAATTATGTAATAAACAAAAATTAATGAATAATAATAGTATTAAAGAAAAAGAAAAAAATAATGGAAAGGATAAAGAATATGTTAAAATAGGAGATAAAATATGCGGTGGTTATACGAGTATCTTACATAAGGAGGTTAGTGATATATTAAAAATGTTAAAAATAGAACATCTAAATTCAATAAATTGTGGTCCATTTATAGTTGATATTTATCATCCTTGTTCAAATTATATCATTGAATTAAATGCTCATTTTCAATATTACTTAAATTCAGAGAATCTAACTAGTTTATCAAAATGGAGACATAAATTCTTGTCACAGATGGGATATAAAGTTATTCATGTATCTTATCGAATATGGAATAATTTACATGATGAAAAACAAAAAATTGATTATTTGTATAGTGTTTTACCAAATGCTATATTAACTTCCTCACCTGTATATATGCAATCAATAAAAATATAAAATTATAACATTTTTTTCCTTTAGGTATAAAAATTAAGAAATTTGTTTTTCTACATATCTTTGTTTTATTTTGTGGAATTCTTTTTATAATTTTTTTTTTTTTTTTTTTTTAAGTTTTTTTTTCATTCTTTTTATGAATATTTATAGAGAAAAATTTAAATAAATTTAAAATAAAATTTTTTATATATTCATATAAATAGAAGAGTTCAATTGCTAATTTATGTAGAAATATAAAAAAATAATATAAAATGTATAAAAATAATAACCAAACATATTCAATGATTGGAGTTAAGAAAAAAGAAATATTATTTATTTATTTTTTTTTTTTTTTTTGTATTAAAAGAATATAGGTGAAATAAAAAAAAACTACTTAATATAAAAAAATATAAATTTTTTAATTAAGCAACATAAATAGCAAAAAGGTTTATATAAATAAATGGTACAATTATTAAAAAAAAAAATAAAATGTTAAAACATTTATTTATATAATGCAAATAAAAAAAAAAAAAATATATTTTTTTATAAAGTTAATTTTTTAAAAAAAAAATAAATTGTAATGAAATTAAAAGAGACATAAGATATTTTGTTAAATAAAAAATACAAGATATACAAATAAAAAAGTTAACTTTTAAAATTTCATAAAAAATATACACTAATACATGGGCAATTTATAAAAAAAAAAAAAAAAAAATATTTGTACAGAACAATTTAAAATATATATATACGATGAATAGAAAGATATTGAACATTTATTAATAAAAATGAAAAAAATATAACAATGTTACAATTATACAAAAATGATATTTTATTTACATCAAAAAAATCTATATTTCCCATATATTTAAGAAATATATTTATAAGTAAATGTAAATTAGCTCCAAAGGTAAAATCTGGAAAAAAGGGACAAGATAAAAAAGATACAGAAAATATAACAGAAAGTAGTGAAAAAGCTCACGTTTTTAATATTTATAATACAGTTGAAAAAGATCATGAAATATTACCTGACTATGCATATCCTAAATGGCTATGGAAGTTAGAAAAACCTTTGAAAAGTTATGGCGAGTTAGCTTTAATGTTTTTATATGGCAAGGTAGAATTAAAAAAAAGAATTATATGAAAATTTTTTTTTTTTTTTTGTAAAAGAATATCTTGTTATTTAAATGAATTTATTATATCTTTTTATATATATGTGAAAAAAATTATATAAATTTTTATGTCTTTATTTCTTTATATAAATATTTTTTGTTTTAGGATATTGAAAATGCTACTGCTGAAGATTATCATCGTTTTCGTAGATTACATAATAAAAATTTAATTAAATTGAATAATTTAAGATTAAAAAAGTCAAAAAGATCAACAGTAAAACCAATTTTCTGGGATCTTTAAATTGAAAAAAAAAAGAAATAAAAACATAAATAAAGTAGATGTTTATATATTTGTCAACTTTTAATGTAAATTAATACACATTACTGAATTTTTCTTAATTTATCTACCTTTTTTTTTTATTTTTTAGTTTATAATTTTTATTTTTTAAGTTGTATTAATAAATATTTTGTAGAGATATAATAAATGAAATATAAAAAAAGGCTTAAAAATTATTTCACTAAAGTTTTTTTTTTTTTTTTTTTTTTTTTTTTTTTTTATGCATTAAAAATATTTTTACATATTTAAATATCCATTTTTAATAAATGATAGTTTACATTTTATTATAAATATTATGGATAAGTTTTACATTAATGTTACTCATATATGAAATGTGATGTAATAAATAAAAATTTATTTTTATTCTAATTTAAAAATTATTATTTTTTTAAGTAATACATTTACAAATATTATTCTTTTCACATTAATTTTTGTAATGAAAAGAATAAAACAAATAAAAAAATAATATTATGAAGTATATATATATAATTTTTTTTTAAATTAGCCAATAAAAATATACTAATTCCTTTTTTTAATTTTAATCTAAATACATATGAAAGAAGGAAAAAAATATTTTTAAGAATTTTCTTATATTTTTTCTTCTTTTTTTTTTTTTTTTTTTGGAGATTATTGGTAATATTTAGCTTTTTTTGTTTTATTATTTTATTATAAATTTTTATAACTTCGTATAAGTTTTTATTTATATATGCTTATGTTTATATATATTTATAAAATTAGAATAATCTTAGAAGATACAGAAATATATTTAAAAGGAATAAAAAAAATAGAAAAAACTTTGTTAACTATATACACTTATTAATATTTAAAAATATAAATAAGTATATAACTGATGATATAATCAATTATAAAATGAAATAAGTGTTTTTGGTGTAATATAATAGTTTGCATTATTCGTGTATATATATGCTTATAACCAAAAATTTATAGCATAATTCTATTAACATTTGTATATTATAAATGAATATAAAAATATATAAAAATAATAAAATATAAAACAATATGAAAAGATTATGCACAAAATGGTTTGTTCAAATAAAAGTAAACTAGTTGCTTCACAAAATTTATCCAATAAAAAAAATAATAATTCAAGTGAAGATATTGGAAATGTTTTAAATAAAAAAGGAGAAAAACATAAGTTACCTAATATAAATAGCATAAATAATGATATCATAAATAATAATGGAAATAATGACATTAACATAGAGAAAGGTTCTGAATTAATTAATTCTAGTTCTTCAAGTAATAGTGGTAATTTTAAAAAGTTAAAAAAAGGAGCAATAATTGAAATAACTTTATATAACTGGATGGTTTTTAGTGGACCAGTAAAATTAAAAGCAGCTGAAGGCATAAATTTAATAGCTGCAGCAAATGCTAGCGGAAAATCTTCGATTGTATGTGCATTAGTGTTTGGTTTAGGTTATAATTCTAATATATTATCTAGAAATAAAGAATTAATTAATTTTATTAAAAAAGGAGAAAAAAAAAGCTATATAGAGATAATTTTAAAATGTAATGAAGAAATCAATATTTGTATTAAAAGAATTATGAATATTATAGATAAAAAAGTTGAGAGTTTTTGGTTTGTTAATAATGAAAAAGTAAATTTTTCAAAAATATTAGATATTCAAAAAGAATTTAATTTAAATTTAGACAATTTAATTACTTTTATGCCTCAAGAAAATGTTAGCAAGTTTTCTAGACTTAATTCTGAAGAATTATTTGAATACACACTTTTAGCTATAGATAAAAGTCTTTTAGATAATTATAATTACTTAAAAAAATTAATTGAAGAAAAGAAAAATGGAGAGCATAAAATTGTAACTTATGAACATGAAATTGCTGAAGAAGAAAAATTAATCAATGATTTAGAAAGTAAGAAAGCTAAATTTGAAAATTTTAAAAATTTACTTGTAACTATGAAATTATATAGAGTAAAAAAATATATTTTATTGTTGGATATAAAAAAAAAGGAATTAGAAAATACAAGAGAAAATGTAAATTTATTAATTAAAGAAAAAGATGAACATTTCAATACTTTAAAACATTATTTATCTGAATTAGAAAAATGCCATAAAGTTATAAATAATTTATCATTAGAATATAATAAAAAAAAAAATATTATAAAAGATTCAATTAATAATTACTTAAAGCTAAATATAAAGCTAGAGGAGATAGAAGAACAAATTATAAAAGAGGAAAAAATTATGGATGACACAGTTCAAAATGTTTATGAAAATAAGGAGTATATAAAAGATTTAGATAAAAAAAAAAAAAAAATAAAAGAAGAGATAGAACAAATAAAACTCTTTTTTAAAGAAAAAGAGAAATGTAGTGATAATATGGAAAGTAAACGTAAAAATTTAGAGTTACATTTAAAGGAATTATCTAATGAAAATAAACAACTTTTAATGAAAAAGTATTCTTTGCAATCAGAATTTAATTCTCTTACAGAAAAATTAAAAAAAAGGCAAAATTATCAAAATATACAAGAAGAAAAATTGTTAAATAGTATTGAGTTTACTTTAAGGGAAAGAATTATGAATTATAAAAAAAATATAAAAAATATTGTTCAAAATCATAATTTATTAAGTGATAATTTTTTACAAAATTTAAAAAAAAAATATGATGAATCAAAAATTACTAATCAAAATGAAATAAATTGTGAAATAATCGAAGAATTATCAAGAAAAAATATTATTTATGGCCCTATATGCAAATATATTAAATGTATAAAACCAGAATTTGATTATATATTGGAGTTTTTTTTAAAAAAATATTTTTATAGTTTTCTCTTAATTAACAAAGAAAATAAAACTTTGTTAGAATCTTTATATAAAAAATATAAATTATCAGTTATTACTATATCTAAAGAGACTCATAAATTTTGTTATGTTACTAATGAAATGAAAAAAAGGGGTGTAGAATGTTTTCTCTATGAATTATTTGAAAGTCCAGATGTTATAAAAAATGGGTTAATAAATTTTATACCAATAAATATTGCATTTATTGTCAAAAATGATATATTTAAAAATAAGAGTACTGAGGAAATAAATGAATTTAACAATTTTATGTTAATCGAATTATCTAAACAATTAAATGAAGATGTTACTAGTCTTTTTTATTTTTGTGATAATAATGTACATCGTTACAGGATAAGCAATTTTGATAAAAAGATATATATAGATAATTCATTTTTTATAGAAAAGAAATGCAAAATTTTATATTATATTAATAGTGATGTCAAAAAAGATTTAACTCAATTAAATGAAAAGAAAAAAGAATGTGAAATAGAATTAGAAAATTTAAAGAAAAAATTTCTTGAATTTGATAAAATAAAAAAAGATAAAAATGACGAATATAATAGAATTATTTTGCAACAAAATGAAATAAATATAAAAAAAAAAAAACTTTTACTTTTACAGAATGAATTAAAAAGTATAGAAGAAAATTTGAGTTTATATTTAAGAGGGGAAAACATTATCGATGATAAAAAAAATAGTATTACCAAGAATATCAATTTATTGAACGACAAAAAAATTAAAATATGTGAGCAATATTTTAATATATTAAAAGAACATAATAAATACGATAAAGAAGTTTTTAAAATTTTTCATGAATTGAATCAATGGAAACGTTATTTGTCTATTATTAAAAATCAAAACTTGGAGAGTGAAGAAAAACATGAAACTTTAAAAAATAACATTCAATTAGAAAAAACGAAATTATCATCTTATATATGTGATATAGGTGAGTTAGAACAATTGATAAAAGCACAAAAAAAAGAACTGAAAAAAGAAGAAATTTCATCACTTGATGATATTCATTTATCTTTAGAAGAAATAGAAAAAAAGTTACAAGAATGTGTAATTCAACAAAAAATATATAGTAATCTAGATAAAAGCGAGGAAAAATATAATATGATTGTTATTTCAATTGAGAAACATAAAGAGACAATAGAAAATAAAAAAAAAGAAATAAATGATTTTAAAAAACTTTTAGAAGGATGTGACAAGCAAATACAGTTCATTTTACCTACTTGGTCTAATAATATAAATGAATATATTATTTTTTTAAATTACAATTTTCAAAAATTTATGAGTTTTATAAATCCAGAATATAGCGGAAAGATTGACTTAATAAAAAAAAATGACAATTATGAAAAGTGTCAATTATTTATAAAAGTAAAGTTTAAAAAAAATTCTCCTTTTTTGCTATTATCTATATCTCATCAATCAGGTGGTGAGCGATCTTTAACAACTATGTTGTATATTTTATCCATCCAAAAACTAACCAAAAATGGTTTTTATGTTTTGGATGAATTAAATCAAGGATTAGATCATTTTAATGAAAAAAGGATTTTTGAATTGTTATCATGCTTATCTAATCCAGTTTTATATAAAAAATATTTTCTACATGATTATGATTATAAATATATTCAAATTGATTATTATTCAAAGCCACAATATTTTATATTAACACCTCAAATAATTAAAAATATATATTTTAAGGATATAACAGTTCATTATTTATTTAATGGTTTTGGCATATTAGATAATCAATTTTCAGGATTTTAGAAATATATATATATATATATATATATTTTTTACCAATTTGTTATCCATCATTTCATTATGCTCATTATTTATTTATTTTTTTTTTTTATAATATTTAATATAATTTTTTAAAGATAAAACTTGGTTTTATTTTAAAATTTAATTTTTTTTTTTTTTTTTTTTTTTGTATACTTCAAATTTTTTCATATTTTTTTTTCTTTAAATTATTTTGAATTACGTGATAGCTACTTTTATTTTTGAATATTTTCTGTTACTTTGAGATACAATTTTTTCTTCTTTTTGATATATATATATTTTATGTATTATTTTTTAATTTGTCATAAAAAATTCAATAAATGTAAAAATATATTTATATTTATCTTAATTTTTATAAGTACTATTATTTATAAAACCAATACAATATATATATATATATATATATATGATAATAATTTATATCATTTTTTTAAATAAAAAACTCTTGTTAAATATTAGGTAATTTAATTAGTAAATTTTTAATAAAGCTTATTTTTTTTTTATTAATTATTAGAAGGAAATAATATATATAAATGTATTTCTGCATAAGGAAAAATAACATGCTATATATGTAGAACGAATATAAAATCATAGAATAAACAAAATAATAAAAAAAGTAGTACATTAATATTTTTTTGGAAATAATTCTTTTTACAATTCTGGTATATATATGGTAATTATTTTTAAACATAAAAATTTTATCTAAATTACAATTTAAATTTTCTTTTTTTTTTTTTTTTTTTTTTTAATTCTAAAATTAAACATTTCGTAACATCATTTTATTTAAAAAAAAAAAAAAAAAAAAAAAAAAAAAAGAGGATAGAACTATATTGTTTTAATTTATTAATCAACATTAATAGAAAATAAAAAAAAAGTTCAGCAATATATATATATTTTTTTTTTTTTTTTTTTATAAATTTTTAAAAAAAGAAGATATAATAATTAAAATAATACAAATAAAATTGTATATGTATATATATATTTATAAAAAACATTTTAAATAAAATATATTATAGTCACATATAAAAACATAAAATATATAAAAATATCAGAAAGTCATAATAAAAAAAAAAATATTTAAATATGAATGAATCAAAAAGGAAAAAATAATAATAGTAAAAAATTTCTTTTAAAATTATTAATCCAACATATATTTTAAAAATTTCTGTAATTATATAAACATTATATGTAAATTTTTTAACTGTACAATTTTTTTTTGAAAGCTTTTAATACATTTAGATATATATATATATATATATATATTTTTTTTTAAGTATATAATATTTTAAAAAATGTCAAATACATTAATATCAGTAGAAAATACAAATAATTCAAATATTGAAGAAAAGGAAGAAGAAATTAATGCCAAAATTTTTCCATTAGCATCTCCTGAATTAACAAATCAAATTTTAGATATAGTTCAAAGGGCAACAGTTTATAGACAATTAAAAAGAGGAGCAAACGAAAGTAATATATACATATATATATATATATATATATATATATATATATATATATATATATATATATACATATTTTACCTTTTAATAAATATTCATTTTATATAAGACATATGTTATATTTATACATTTAATGGATATATATTTTTTTTTATTTATTATAGCTGTGAAAAGTTTGCATAAAGGAATATCAGAATTAGTAATTTTAGCAGCAGATGCGAAACCATTAGAAATTATTTCACATATTCCATTAGTTTGTGAAGATAAAGTAGAAATTATAAATACTCAAAAATTTAACAAAAAAAAAAAAAAAAAAAAAAAAATAGTTTATTTTCATATTTTTCTTTTTTCTTTTTTTTTTTTTTTCAGAACACTCCTTATGTTTATGTTAGAAGTAAAATGGCATTAGGTAGAGCTTGTGGTATTTCAAGATCAGTAATTGCATCTTCTATTATAACTAAAGATGGTTCACCTTTAGAAACACAAATAACGGAATTAAAAGACTTAATTGAGCAGATGTTAATTTAATTATTCTATTTTCTTTTTTTTTTTTTTTCTTTTTTCATTTTTATTATTATTTAATTCTAATTTTTATTTCTATATTTATTTATTTATTAATTTTTTTTTTATACACTTTTCTTAATTTTTTTTATTAAAAAGTTTAAAAAGGCTTATAAAAATACGTGTAAATACATATTAGTACAATATATTTAAATTTTTTTTTTTTTTTAAGGTTTCTTGTTTTATTTTTTATATTGTAATTCTTGAAATTTAAAAAGAAAAAAAAAAAAAAAAAAAGAATTGAAACTTTTAAATTATTCAATTAAAATTAAATTTTGAAATAAAATTTAAAATTGTAAATTAAGTACGTTTTTTATAAAAACACTTATTAATGATGAGGTGCTTTAATTGTTTATTTTTTTTTTTAATTTTCATTTATATGAATTTTTTTATATTTTATTTTTAAATATAAAGAATTAAGGATGTTTTTATTTTAGTTATTTCTTTTTATTGCTTGTATATAAATATTTATTATTTATTTTATTTTATTTTTTTTTTTTTTTTGTGTATTTATATTTTTTCTATTTCCTATCTTTTGTTTTCTTTTTTTTTTTTTTGTTTTTTTACCTTTGTTTTTTTTTTTTTACTTAAACTTTTTTTTTTCGTATTTATATATACTTAATATTTTATATCTTATTTTTTTACATTTTTTCAATTNNNNTTTTTTTTTTTTTTTTTTTTTTTTTTTTTTTTTTTTTTTTTGTTTTTTTTCCTTTGTTTTTTTTTTGTTACTTAAACTTTTTTTTTTCGTATTTATATATACTTAATATTTTATATCTTATTTTTTTACATTTTTTCAATTCTGTATATTACAAAGAAAAAAATTAATATTTTCATATCCTCATATATATATATATAAATATTATTTATCTTTATTATTAATTTATCAAGATTTTCTAATAAAGTTCTAAAAATGAAAATTCCTATTTTTTCTTTTTTCTTCACTCTAATATTTTTTGGTATATTTTTAAAAGCTAAGAAATTTGATGTTTTTCTTTCTTATCATAAAAGAATATCTAAAAAAATTAATGAGATATTATTATATTTTAATATATTTGAAGTTCAATATCCGTTAAGTTATATAAATAATGAAAAAATATTAGGTTTACATATGAAAGATATTGAAAAAGATGCTTATAAAGTTTATCCTATTTTGAAAGAATTAAAACAAAAGGATTATTTTCGAATATTTAAAGTTAATCTACATATATCATGTAAATTTTTGAAAATTAGTGAAAAATGTAAAGAAATGAAAAAATGCAGTGTTTGTGAATGTGATGATGATAAAATTCCATATAATTTTAGAACTAACGAAATTGAAATAATTGAAGATAAATTGTCTAATGAAGATTTAAAAAAAACTTTTACAGAAAGTAAATTATATAATGATATATTAGGAATATATGCTCCGTCTAATGAAGGATTTTTATCATATGTAGATTTAGTTTATAATTCTCCATGTTTTACTGCTTATGAGGGGAAGAATATATGGTTATACAAATTCCTTTTTATATATATTCATGTTAAAATTTATATAATTAAATATACAAGTTATATTCATTTATATTAATAATTATATATATTATTTTGTTAATTACATTAATTTAAATATATATATATATATATATATATATTTCTCTATGTTTTTTATTATTTTTTCAAAATAGGGATATGATTTATAAAGAAAATTGTTTTATAAATGCTGATAGACAATGTGAAGAAATGAATAGTTTTTATAAAATAATATCAGGAATGCAATCAAACATAGCTGTTTTATCATCAGAATATTATTACTTGAAAAATGATAATATATTAGAAGAAAATAAATTAAATAATAAATTTAGTTTTGATCAATATCCCAAGTTAAACTATGATTATAGTGTTTCTTTTTTTAAAGAAAAAATTGGGTTATATCCTGATAGAATTGAAAATTTATATTTCACATTTGCTATATTATTAAGAGCTATGTGTAGATTAAAATCTTTATTTAAACAATGTAAATGTAATTCAGGTAAAAGAAGAAAAATAAAAAAAAAAAAAAAAATTTTATTAATTTAGTTATTTGGGAATTTTTATCGTACTTTTTTTTTTTTTTTTTATATATTTATATTTACTTTTTTTAACATTTTTTTTTTTTAGGTTATGAAGAAGATGATAAAGCAGCTGTTAAACTATTAAATGAATTGTTAGAAAATTCTTATCATTCGTGTTCTTCAAAAGAGTTCTTAGAACCATTATTCCCAACTCAAGGAAAAGAAATATTATCAAAATTTAAGAATATAACAAAAATTCTTGATTGTGTACCATGTGTAAAATGTAGATTACATGGAAAATTAAAAACAACAGCTTTACAAATAGCTTTAGTGGTAAAAAAAAAAAAAAAAAATTAAAATAAATAAAATAATAAAATTTATAGATATAAATTATATATTATATAGGAAGGAGTAAGTAATGAACATATAGGCTCTCTTGAAAGAAATGAAATTACTGCTTTAATAAATGCTCTATATTATTTTGCAGATTCTATAATAATTATACATAAGTAAAGAAATATTAATTATTTGCGATTTTATTTATTTATTTTTTTAAGCAATAATGGTTTTTTTTTTTTTTTTTTTTTTTTTCCCTCTTTTTCCTTTAGGTTTCAGGAGAGATTAAAATTAAGGAAGACTATATTTATATTCTATTTATTATCTTTTTTGTTGTTCACTTTTTTAATAATATATTCTGTAATTTTTGTAACAATAAGGAATTATAAAAAAAAAAGAAAATTAACTTAAAAATTATATCCAAAAAAAAAAAAAAAAAAATTAAAATTAATGTAAAAAATAATTTAAGCTAAAAATGTAAATATAATCAAAAAAAAAATCCAAAAAAAAAAAAAAAAAAAAAAAAAATTAAATATATAAAAAATATTAGAAATAAAAAATATTAGAAATAAAAAAATAAAGTTAACATATATATATATATTTTTTTTTAAATATGTAAATTATTCATTTCTATTTTTTGTTTATTAAAATTACATAAAGAAATTTTTTACCTTATTATATATGTTATGATAAAATATAACTCCATCAAATATGAGAAGTATTTAATAATTTCTATAATTATTAACTTTATGGATTTTATAATATATATATAATAAATTTTTTTACTATTTTATTTATTTTTTTAGTGTTTATTTTACGTTATTATGTATTTTTAAATGATTTTCCTTTATAAAAATTCTTTTTTATCATTTAAAATTTATGGTTCATTTTTTTTTTTTTTTTTTTTTTAAAATTAAGTAAAATTTTTATTTTCTTATTTTAATTCTTTTTTCAATCACACTGAATTTTTTTAAAAATTTCTATATTTCCGTTTATTCCTGTTAATAAAATATAGTTACACAAATCATAATTTTCCATTTCTTCTAAATCATAATAATTTAAGAAAGAAATATATGACGGTATAATGGAAGAATTTGTATTGAAAAAGTTTGTTTTTGAGGTATTATTATTATCGCAATTATTACAAAAACTAATGTGTTCTAAAAAAATTTCACCACTTTTATTTATAGAACATAATTGCTGTTTATTAGATGAGGCAGAAATAATTTCTTTTTTTTTTGTTTGATTTAAATTTTTAGATATTATGTTATGCCAATTTTCACTTTTTATATCATAAAAGTAAAAATTGTTTTTTTTATCAACACACAAAATAATATAATCATTAACTATAGAAGAATAAATTATGTTATCAAAATTTTTCGTAAAAACAGAATTAATATTTTTTTTTATTCTTTTTTCGAATAAATACTGCGGATTAATATAGTTTATATGTATGTAGTTTTCATCATACACTTTTTCTTTAATAGAATTGCAAAACAAGTGTGACTGTTCATTATTAATTAAGGGAACTGATTCATTTGATGAAATGTTTAAAAAGATTTTATTATTATTTAAGTTATTTAAATGAATTTTTTTCTTAGGTGTTCTGATATCAAATAATTTAAAGTTGTCTGATCTTGTAAACAGCAACTTACCTTTTAATTGAACATACTTAACAGGATAACTGAAGTTATCATAAGTTTGTATAATTTCAAAATTGTTTTCTATATTTATTAGTTGCAATGTTTCATCAGATGAACCTGTAACTAGATAATTATCATTGGAATTCATACAGTTAATAGTGTCATTATGAATTTTTTTAATAATTAATTTATTATATATATTATCATTATATATGAATTCTTTTCTTTTATTTTTTGATCTTTCATATAAAGAATCATATTCAAATATTTCGTCAAAAGAAGAAAACAAAGAATTACTAGAATCATCAAGGGAAATGTTGGAATAGTCTGAAAAAATAGAAGCATCCTTATTTGTTTTGTTTTTATTTTCATTTTTTATTTTATTTTTATGTATTTTATCATCAGTGTTTTTATCATCCTTTTTTATGCATTTTTTTGTTTTTAAAATGCTTTGAGGATTTAAAAAAACAATATTTCCATTGATAGTTCCGAGAATATAATTGTGAAGAAAATCTGTTACACAAGAGAAATTTTCGTTACTAAGTTTTAATGATATTAAATTTTTATTGTCTTTAATTTCGTAATTTAATATATCAAAAAATGTTATTAATTTTATATATCCATTTTTGCAAGCAAAACATATATTATTTTGATTATTACTAACACCTTTTATATTACAAGGTATATTATCTGATTTGTGCAATTCCCAATTATATCTTTTAAAATAATCATAATATTTTTCCTTCTCTCTTTTATTTATATTTTTTATATAATTATTATCATCATTCATATGTGATATTTTTCTTGTAAGAAAATCCTTTTTTTTTTTATTATTTTCATTATTTAATGTAAATTCATCATCAAAATTTTCACTAATATTTTCATCGCTATATTCATCCTTGTCTTGATTGTTCAGGATGTTTTTACTATTTTTGTTTGATTTTTTTTTTTTTTTTTCATTTTTTTTTAAATATTCTTCTTTTAACATTTCATTAATAATACTTGAATAATACCATGGAAAATTTTTTATTTTTTCATCATAATAAAATTTTTTAATTTTTTTTTTTGGTGGATGGCGTTCTTTAAAAATTTGAAAAGGACATTGCCCAAATTCATGTAATTGTGTTTTTAATGCTTTTGGTGACATAGATATAATTAAGGATTTAATTTTATGATTAAAATTTTTATCAAACTGAGTATCTTCTCCCGTTTTCTTTTTCTCATTATCTATGTTATATTCACTTGATATTTTTTCATTTAAAATGGCATGCATATAGGTTAATGGATGAAATAAATTAAAATTTTCTTTTGCAATTTTGCCATTTTGTTTATAACCAAATATTAAATCTATCCATTCATTTAAATGTTGATTTACATAATTGCTTTCTAATGCATTTTTCATAATAATTAAAAAATTTTTTGAATTATTACACCATTTTGGTAAAATTACATCATTTATATTTCCTTCACAAGTATTAATATTTAAATTGTTTTTTAAAAAACTGTCATCATCTTCATAGAATTCAGGTAATATTTCTATAAAAGAAGAATTAGCATTTAAAGCAGTATTGAAAGTGCTTTCAATTGATAAAAACATTCTTGAGAGTGTATCAAATTTACCACTTTGTAATTTTAATTGGCATTCTGGATATAAGCGAATTAAAAAATAGACAACATAAGCTAATGTAGAATAATGTGAGCCATAAAAATATTCATGATCTTGCATTTTTTCAATTAAAGAATTTAATCTATTCTCATTTAAACAACCTATGGGTTTTGATAAATTTCTATAAACATTTTCATCATTTAAATTTATTTTCTCACTTGAATAATCTGATAATATCCATGGAAAAACAGGATATTGTGAAAAATCTTTTCTGCTTCTTCCAGCTACACAATTTAGAAAATCTAGATATTCATAGTTTGTTATAAATCCATTAATCCATTTTTCTTGTATTAAATAAATGAATTCTTTATTTTCTTCGATAAAAAAGCATTGTGGTTTTATTCTTTTTAATACATTTATAATCATTTGTCTTTCATCAAATGAGATAAATTCTATATATAAAGAATTATATTTTTTTTTCTCATTATAAAAAATTATTTCTAATGCATTTGGTTTCATAGTTATAATTCTTTTAAAAACATGGACTATATTTTTAATCTGCCACTTTTTTTCTTTTTTATTCGTAAAGTTAGGATTAGGCTGAAAATAAATATATTTATTTGTGATATTTAGTATTCCTTTAACTTTTAATAATGGAGATACTTTAAATACCCAATATCCTTCAATTTTATTACTTATAATTTTTTCATGAATATTTATACTACTTATATCAAATTTTATATTTATTGTTAACTTTTCTATTATATCTTCTATATATTTTTCTAAATTTATTTCTTTTCTATTATTTTTATTTAATGTATTATTATTACTACTATTATAGTTTTTAGCCTGTTTGTTTTTTTTCTCTTTTATTAATATTTCCATTTGTTTTTCATGGATTAACATGGCTATTTTTATTTTTATTAATATGTCATAAATATGATTTAATTTTTTTGTCATACCAGGAGAGTTTTCACAGGTAAATATATACATATAGCTATTTGTTGTATTATTATCATTAACTTTTTTATTTTGTATATTTATACCTCCTACTTTATCCGATATTAAATTTATGTTATCCTTTACCATATTATTAGATGTATTAGTATCATCACTATATTCATCGAAATTATTTAATATTTTTTCAAATTCTTTTATTTTTTCATCTATATTGTCATTATTAATATTTTTAAATTCATTATAGTACTCATTATAGTCATTTATCATATTTTCAGTTTTTTTATATTGTCTTTCATAAGCAAATTGAGATATGCATCTTGTTTTTTTATTATATATAATTGTTTTTATTTTTATAAGTTCAACTGTTCTTACAATTAATTCATTTTTAAATGCATTTAATTTTATATTTTCTAATTTTCTAAAAGGAAACTTTAATACATCATCATCAATATTATAAGGTTCAAATACTAAAGATCTCGAACATAACCTTAATCGTCCTCTTTTATTAACAAAATTTCCATTTTCTTTTTTTTTCATTGTTATTAACATGTCATCCATATATTCTTCATCTTCTTCTAAAAATAGTAAATTAAAATATCTTATTTTTGTTTTTTCCATGTTTTTCAATTTATGCTTTTATTAGGGTTTACATGTTTAATAAAAAGGGGAAAAAAAAAAAAAAAAAAAAAAAAAAAAAGGTTAAAAAAAAATTATATATACATATTTATATTTTATTAAGAAATAATTTAAATTTATATATTTTTTGTAGAATTTTTTTTTTTAAAAGGATAATGAATATGTTATAAAATCAAAAATGCTTTTATGCATATTTAATTATTTTATGTGAAATTTTTTCAGAAATAAAATATTAAAAAAAAAAAAAAAAAAAGAAAACATCAATAGTTTCCCACAAATAAATAAATGATACAATAAAAAAATTAGAATTGTTTTTTAATTGTAACTTTATATATAAAAAAAAAAAAAAAAAAAAAAAAAAAAAAATTTTT